TGTTGACAGTTTCATTACTACGTACTCAGAGTCTATTTCTCTGTGTTTATCCTTCTTGGAATTTATTGTATTTCTTCAATGGGTAGATTCATGTCTTTTACCATTTGGGGAAAATTTTCTCTCATTAGTCCTTCAAATATTTTTTCTGCCCCATCTCTCTCTCTTCCGTTCCTGGGAGTCCCATTATGCAGATGTTGGTACACTTGATAGTTTCCTATGAGTCTCTTAAGCTCTATTAATTTTGATGCTTTTCGTTGTTGTTGTTTCCTTTCTGATCCTCAGACTGGTAATTTCCATTGACAAATTCCTCTGCCCTACACTTTCTTCTGCATGCTCAAATGTGTTGTTTAGCCCCTATAGTAATTTTTTTTCCATTTCAGTTATTATACTTTACCTCCCCAAAATGACTATTTGCTTCTTTTTGATAATTTCTATCTCTTTATTGACATTCTCTATTCGATATGGGATTCTTCTACTGATTTCCTTTAGTTTCTTTGTTCACAATCTCCTTTAACATACTTTAACATAACAATTGTCTTTGTCTAGTAATTCCAGCATATGGTCTTCTTGAGGGACAGTTTCTATTCATTTCTTTTATTTCTTTTCTTTTCTTTTTTCTTTTTTTGTTTGAGGAAAAGGAAAGAGGAGTTTCATTAATTTGCTGGCAAATGAAGAGGAGACTCTTGTCTGAAATGCTATCATCCCAATAATAAGCAAAAATATAGAGCTTTAAAGGGAGGCCATTCAGCTTCAGGCAATTGCTGTTCAACTACAGTTGATGATTCTGATGGTCCCATCTCCACCTAAGGCAATCCCTCCCACCTGGGAGGTCTACCTGGACCTCCAGGACTTCTGCCTGCCTGGTCAGGGTGGGACTGAGCCATCTCCTGTAATGCAAAGAACAAAGGACACTACTGTGCCTTTCCTGACCACAGGCCTGAGGCAGGGATGTAGGTTCCAGTTCTGAATAAAGAGTGGGGTATGTTTTAAAGAGACAGAAAATATTTTTGCAGTTTTTTTACCCCCTCAGGCCATTCCTTCTTTTACATATTCCTTACTGTCAGTATTATCTTTCCATATCCATGGGAGGAGAGGTGACTACTCTGTTACATATTCCCCCCTGTCAATTTTATCCTTCCATATCTGTGGGAGAAGGGGTGACATAGTCCTCAAACTACTTCCTGAAGAATTGCAGTGACATTTTAGATGGAAGATTTATACTTATCTATGTCATTGCAAAGCTTTGGCAGTATATTTACAACAACAGATTACCAGGTGAAAAAAAGTCATAAGTAATAACTATAGCAGTGAGAATTGACAAAGCAAAATGGACTGTCACCTTGTATACAATGTCTGATATGCGGCTGGGCTAACAGGAAACGTGGGACCTCTTAGGGCAGAGCTATTAGTTGCACTCTATAGGTGATCCAGCAGACAAGCTTCTGCAAATTCAGAAATCATATACAGCACACAACAAGGTTTAAGATGGCAAACCCAACAAGAAGACAGATCAACATAAGAGATAGTAGCCCAGGGAAATCCTCACAAGGAGCTGTTTATCCATCCTATAGACAAAACAAATAATCAAAGAAACATTAGCAAAAATATCAACATTTTCATTTTTCCATTTTTTAAAACAGATACTTTAGATTGCCTAAAGGCTGGCCCCTCCACTGGGGGCTTGGGTCCTCTTCTTCCATAGGGCACCTCTTTACTCTGGTATGATGGACCCAGGGTTTTCATTTCTGACAATTTTAACAAGGTGTGAGCTGTTAGAGGCACTTTATAGGGCCTCTTTCACTTCTTTGTTTCCAACCTAGGTGGATACCACAAAGAGGCAAACTCATGCATAGTGTTTAGCACTTGATGGCAGTGCCCAAGGCAGTGCCCACTGAAGGAATCCTTGCTTTCCACCATCTGCACCTGGATCTGCTGCACAATGTCTGCAATCGGCCAAGGACTTCTTTAAGTAGACCCTCAGTGGGAACCTGGTGAACCATTTCTCTAAGATCGGACTTGGTAGACTCAATGATCCTGTAGGTCCTCAATAGGCTCATAGGCTCCCCTCTTCCATACAGAGTGATAATGGACCCTCCTTTGTAGCATAGGTAACCCCAGCAAGTAAACAAAGCCCTACATTTAGAACAGAAATTCCATGAAACCCATCTAAAGTGAGATAAGCTGATTGCCCTCCTCTGGAAAAGGGTGGCCCTTTAGAAGCAGGCCTAAGTTAAGCTCCAAAAAGTAGTTTATGAGAGACCCTTTCTAGCACCCTGAGTAAACAGGGTAATATAACAATCAGTAAAGAAAACAGAGTGAAATGATATGTCAAATGAGTGTTCATTTCTTTTTTTCCTGTGAATGGGCCATACTTTCTTATTTGGTTGCCTAATCTTTTGTAGAAAATGGGAAATTTTGAATATTATAATATGGCAACTCTGGAAATCAGGTTCTTCCCCTTCCCAGTGATTTTTGTTGCTTGTTGATGTGAATTATATTTGTTTGTATAGTGACTTTCCAAACTATTCTTTGTAAAGACTGTTTTCATTGTTATGTGTGGTTTCCAAAGTCTCTGCTCTTTTAGCTTAATAATCAGCTAGTGATTTGGCAGAGATTTCTTAATGCCTAGAGACAAAAGAAGGGACAGAGGAAGGAAAAAAGAAAATGCAGAGAAAAAAATAGTTCCCTGGTGTTTACAGTTTTACTCTGTGTTGGGGCACTCCTCTAATTCTTAGTCAGACCTTTCACAACTCTCCCTTTAAACAACACTTTCTGCTTGTATTGATCTTAAAAATTAGCCAGAGGTGAAAGTGTAGGAAGCTTAAGTAGCTTTCTAATTTTCTGAGCATACCTACTGCTCAAGGCATGCATGTGGCCAATCCAAATTACTTAATATATGTGAGAACTTTCAAAGTCCTTATTCCCCAACTATATTTCTCCAGATTTTCCACTCTAATTTTCAGGGTTTCTATCATTTTCCCCAACTTTTATTTATCTTTTGCCCAAAGAAGTAGCAGTTTTTCTGTCCTTTCGATGTTTTAAAGGAACACCGCCCACATAGCTGCTTTTCTGCTCTGAGAGAGCTATGAGTTAACCAAAACAAGGCAAGCCCCTTGCATCAGTCCTTCAGAAGGCTCCCAGTGAACTCAAAAGAAACTGATTGGTTGAGTACCAAGAGGAGTCATGGTGACTCACAATGGATCTCAGAACCTTGGCACCAGATGGAATGGCGAAGTCTGAACACTGGCAGCCACCTCCTGGATTACTCCTGGTTCAGGACTGAATACAGTGAGTGAGTAGAAGGTGCTGGAAGAAGAAGTAGATGTTACCTATGTTTCGGTACGATGTCCATATCTGTTCCCTATATACTCAGCTATCTTGGACTCAGAGCTATTCCCTGGCTCATTCAAAATCTGTCCATTGAAACTTGTTCTGTGTGGAGAAGTTACCAAAATATTTTAACAGTGTTCATTGCATTTCCACAGGTCCACTGGACAATAATCAGGAACTTTGACCTCAAGATCCAATCGCCTAGTGAAAGCCACAAGAGAAATCAGCCCCAGGTAAGATTCTCTACTCTTCCTTGATCTCTGCATCCAGCCTTGGCCATAACTCTGCATCACTCCTTTTATAATATGCACTTCACATAAATGGGGTGTTCATTTGCAGAAATTTCAGGAGTGAGTAATCATATTCTCAAGCCATATTACCATCCAAGTCTCTGAATTAGCACAACTAAATTGTTAACATTCAGGGTGGCCCATGTGGTTGTAGTCTAGAAGTAGGACATGGAGTATTACCAGCTATTGGAGGGATAATAGTGAGGACAGGGCTTTGTAATTTTTTATAGTGCTGTCCTCCCAAGGAAATAAAATGACCATTATGAGGAGACATGGCTTCTCCCACACTGGCTGCCCCACACAGTCTCACATAACAACTGCAGAAATTGAGGCAGAGATGCGTGTATGAGGGACCCAAGTCTCACACTCCCTTTCTTGAGTGATAGGCAAGGCTAAGTCATCCAGCTTTTCCCCCACCCCACATAGAACCACATAAAGACACTGATGCTGTGTTCAGTGTGCAAAACAAATTGAGGAGGGACAAGAATCCTTTGATGGCCTTCCACAGTGTCAAGAGAAGGCTCCTGAAGGAGTGGAGACTGTGGCTCTGAAGCCAGATTCAATGGGTTCACATCCTGCTTCTGCCACATACTAGCTATTGACCTTGGGCCAATTCTGTAACTTTCCTGTGCCTGTTTCCTGTCCTGGATGAGTGGGATTGGCAGTAATACTTACCTGGAGCTGTCAGGAGGTTAAATGAACTACTGCATGGAAAGCCCCTGGAGAAGGCAGCCCCTAGCTGGGGTGGGGGTGCGGCTGATATTGCCAGGGTGTTTTCCTTCTCTCATTACTTTATTGCTGGTAAAATAGGGGAGGCTAAGGGAGTCTAAGGGACTGGAGAATGGTGTCATCTCCTCTTCTTTTCTGCCTCCTAAATGAGAACCCCTTAAAGTCACAGATGCAGTTGAAAATCTTCCCTGGCTCAGTATGCCCTCTTGCCTTGAACTCCACTGACAGCTTCGCCATCTGCCTATGTTTTTGTTGGTTTTTTGGTTTTGGTGACTTCCCTCTGACCAGGCCCCTTCCTTGTGTTCCCATGCCAGTAATCTTTCCCTTAGAGGAGACAGGTAAGAAAGAGACTGAGCATCAACCTGCCATGGTGTGGCCTCTCTGGGGCTCGAATCTGTGCCTCCAAAGAACCTTGTTTCACTGGTACAGCATTGACAGGATTGGCCACACACATTAGCTCATGCTTGTTATGGAAATAAACGTAAGAATGACATACACACAACTAACAGTCCAGTGTTTCTGACAGTCCCACTGTCACTGGGAGGGCCCTTGGGCTCTCTACGCAATGGAAATCAACAAGGGGACTCACAGGAGTCACAGACAAGGCTTTATTGGGGCTGATGCCCAAGCACAAGGGAGACAGCACAAAGGAAAGAGTACTCAGGCTGGATCCCCGAGAGGAGCGTTTTAAAGAGGTGTAGGTGGGAACGGGGTAACGTGTAAGCATGTAGAGGTGGAGATTACTTCGTGCCTACACAATGTTATTACATGCTTCTTCCTGCGTCACAACTCTCATTAGCATGTTAAATATCTACCCTGAGTGACTTTTAGCATTAAAATGAGATTATGATGAAGAAAATGGCAGGGTAAGGTCAGTGTGTATGTGTATGTATTGCGGGGGACTATCCTGACTGGAAGCAGTGAGATCTGGATAAGTCTCGTTTCTTTACAGGCAAGTTCCTTATCAGCTTGTGTCAGTGTCTTGCTTCATTGGTCTTGAAAAACATTATTCAAGAGACAGATGGTTGAGTCCTTTTCTTGTATGGACAGGGGCTAAATTCTGGCAGTTAGGAAACTATTTTTAGCCATGTGCAGCTAATGCAGTCCTGTTATGTTGACTCCCATGGTCAGGCGCAAGAGGCCCAAGCCCAGTCCCTATTCTGTGTCACCACCTCCTTTCTTGCGCCCATCCACCTTACATCCCTCCACCAGAAGAGGCTCCATCATCAGCATGCTGTAAATTCTTCCAGACCTTTTCTGTATTTGCTTTTATTCATATACGTGGCTCTGTGAGGAAAAAAAAAATAGGATGGTAGGGTGTATAATGTTTTACGAGTTTCTTTCTTCAATGACCATTTTTGGAGATCATTTCCATGTCAGTACATAGAGAACCACTTCACCTTTCCATGGCTGCATTTCATTTCATATTATTGATAAAACATACTCTATTCGCAAAAGGAATTTCAGAAAAATTGTCTTTCTCTTCTTTTGCCAACCAAGTCAATCACTTAGGTGTTTGACAAAGAAGTAAGGTAGACATGAGTTCAATGAAAGAATCTACTGTAAGTTCCTCTAAGAATAAATTATGAAATAATAACAATAACATATCAAATTTTCACTGGCAACAAAACATATGTGAATGTGGTTTCTAAAAATGGTGGAAAATATAGAGGAAACATTTTGTAAGTTTCCTGTTTCACTCAAATATCATTATTTCTAGACAGGAAAATCAATTACATTATCAATTCTTCCCCCCCAATTAATCTATAAATTCAGTGCAAGCACAGTCATGAATCTCTATAGGATTTTTTCATGAAACAAAATGAGTTGATTATTCTATTAAAAGTATGAGAACGCATGTTGGAATTACCTTGATAGGGGCCTTGGCCTACAAGATAATTAAAACCTACATGATAGACATAGGAATTAAAATTATATCAGTAAAACAGAGCAGATTCTGGACACAGACCCACGCGTATGACAGAATGAAAGAAATGAAAACGTTGGCATTCCAAATCAGATGATGCTCCAAAGCAATCTCTTAGGACTGCTGCTGGCAAAAAGTATGTGTGTTTGTTGGGGGCGGGTGGCACTGGGCAGTGAATAAGAGGCCCCTGGGTTCACTTCATTATCTGGATTTCATCATCTTTATCAGGCTTTCTTGGCTGTGCTGTCTTCCTGAGGCTGTGTGGAGTTGACCAGTGATGGATGAAGGACTTTCTAAAGTCAGGGTGAGCAAGCCCACTGCAAACATCAGGAGAAAGGCCGACGAGTACTTAAAACCCAACCTGGCCTCCAAGAACGTGCTGAGCTTTTTACTCGGCAGACAGCTAGGGATGCATAGAAATGACGTGGATCTGACCAAGTGGCTGTGGATGCTGACACGGGCAATGCCAGGGTGGAGGTGGCCTTTGCCAAAACATCATGTCACTTACATGCTTATGCCTACCCAGAATCCTGGAAAATCCCAAAAAAAGGGTTTAGAATAAAACTCCTCCCTTGTACCAGCAATTGAAAGAGAAGGTGCATTTTCACTGCTTTTGGTTTGATATGGTTTCATGCCCATACAACTTTCCTGAGTTACACTGTACAGGGGATTCTATTCATTTTAAACTTTCTGGGTAGGGGCTCTCAGACACATGGGAGATGGGGAGATCATGCTGCACATCAGATTTCTTCCACCATTACTCTGAAAAGAAAAACAGCAAGGCAATAGTTGTGTAGTAGTAGGTCATTCCAGGACCCAAGTCCTCTCCCTCGCCATTTTGGAGAGACATCCATCGTGCTCTCCTCTAAAACCTAATTTGCACCCAGCTAAAAAGACATCAATGAGAAAAACAGGCTCATGGGCTGTGTGGGAGGTTAGGATACTTTTTATTCTGAAGCTCATGAGAGGATCATTTAGAAGCTACAGTATTATGTATTTGTTGATTCCATTTAACATAAAAAATCAGAGCACAAGACATTTTAATATTGGGAACATCAGACTCTCAGATCCTTCTATACGTAACTGTTTCCCTCTTCATCCCCAGAGAAGGGGATCTGCAGGTGCATGTGAAATACACCTGTTCACCCACAGCCAATTGAAGACAATTGACTTGACTGAAGCGATGCAAGACTTGTGAGAAGGCTCCCATGGAAGGAAGCTCTCTAGAGCAGGAGTCCTCAAACTTTTTAAACAGGGGACCAGTTCACTGTCCCTCAGACCATTGGAGGGCCAGACTATAGTTTTAAAAAACTATGAACAAATTCCTATGCACACTGCACATATCTTATTTTGAAGTAAAAAAACAAACGGGCAAAAACACCCACATGTGACCTGCGGGCCATAGTTTGAGGACGCCTGCTCTAGAGGAATCAGAAATTCAGATCTTTGCTCTGAGAAATCCAAAGTGGGAATTGCTTAGGGAATAGAGCATTGGAAAAAGAGAGGTGAAGCTGAACGAGGGCAGGAAGAGCTGAGAGGTCAGGGCCCTTGGGGACATGGGCAAGCACAAGTACAAGGGAGATGAAATTAACCTACAGTGAACCAATAAAGCAATCACAAATCCCAAGCCTTACTCTTGTCCTGAAAGTGGGATGCCAATGAGACTGCAAGCAGCACTTCTCTCCCCTCCCCTCCTCCCCAATTGTCTGTACCCTCACAGCCTGTCCAGCATGCCCCAGCCTCTTTCTCTCTCTTCTCCTCCTCCTGCATCTAAGGGGCTGCCACACTGTCTCTCCCCTTAGCCCTGACTCTCCAGTTCCACATTAGGTACAAAATTCAGCCAGTCGATGTCCTTTTCCCCCTCCTTTGTCCCTGTCCACTCTGCCATCCATGCTGAGTGGGCATTGCCACAATACAGCCACCAGCCTGTCCTCAGAGGGTGCAGCAGGCTGTGGGATGGGGGGAGGGATGAAAAGGGCTCCAGGTAGGGGCCTCCTGGCAGGACTGTTGTTGGGAGAGGCCTCTGAACACTCCTGTGTCGGTTACTACTCACCTGCCTTACAGGATCCAGCAGCAGTTGGAGGGAGAGAAACAGGGAGGATTGGGGCTAAAGCAGCAGCAGGTAGGGCAAGAGGAAGCCAGACCCAGAGGAGCAGAGACCAGTAATAGCCAACCTGCTACACCCCATGGCCATACATAGAGGGGACAAGATCTAGGATGTAGAGTTACACGTGGATAAATTCACAGTCATAATATTGAGTGACAAAACAAGTAGCCCAAAAGTGCCAAGCATGCTTATTCTCCCCACAAATTGATATGTGGAAATCCTAATCCCAAGGTGATGGTATTAAGAGGTGGGGCCTTTGGGAGGTGATTGGGAGATGAGGGCAAAGCCCTCATGAGTGGGATTGGTGCCTTTATGCAATAGGCCTAAGGGAACTCGTTCTTCCTCCACCCCCCCACCCCGGGAGGACACAGTGAGAAGGCATTCTTGTGTAACCAGGAGGTAGGCCCATCAAATCTGCTAGAGTCTTGATCTTGGATGTCCCAGCCCCAAGAAGTATGAGCAATAAATTTTCTTTTTTTTTTCTGCCATCCAGTTTATGGTATTTTGTTAAAGCAGCCCAGTTGGACTAAGAGAAGTGTTTTATATACGTAAATAGTAAAGGTATTCAAAGCAGTGTAGCAGAACGTTCTGTTAGTACTCTATCTAGTCTCAGACTTGCCTACCTCCCCAGAACAGTTGATACCAAACTCTCATCATCTCCCAGAGAGTTGCCTATCTCCCCATGGAGAACTGGTGATAAGGTGATGACACACAATGGCGTGAACTGTGACCACTCACCATGTGTAGCTGTGCATGTACGCTGGAGAGACAGGGCAGGTTGGAGACCAAAGACATCCTCTTCACAGAGCTTGGAGGGTGTGTCAAGTCCACAAGAGGAAACTATTCACCTCAAACTTACTTGGATGGGTGTGAAGTTTCAAAATGTATACTTGGAGGGCTTGATTGATCTCTATAAAAATCAGAATCACTAGTAGGAAATTTGAAAAGGGGAGTGAATGGCAGAGAGACAGTGAGAGACAGAGAGAGAAATAGAGAAAGAGAGAGAAAACAGAAAGATTTGCCTGGGACTCCAGGAGAGGACTTTTCTCAAAAGATCTTAGATGAGGCCATATGTAACCTTAACAGAGAAATTGTTGATGCAGGTGAACCTCAGTACCTAGAGGCTGACTGGAGAGTGTTTCTAGCTGTGTCCTGGAAATACTCTTTCCTTCCACACTTTAATTTCTGCCTGCTGCTTCTGTAGGCCAAATCCATATACTAGTCAGAGGGCAAAGAAGGCCATGGGATGTAGCCTTGACATGTCAACTTCTTGAGGGACACTGCAGTGTAGACGAGGAAAGAGGATATATCTGGTTGGACAAACTAAGAGTAACCAAAAGAACTCACCACTTTTTCCATAGCCAGCACCCACTGTTGCTTTGATTAGATGAAGGAATGCCTTGCCTAGCACAGGGTAACACACTGAGTCCTGTTAGCCTGTATTGCATCATGGGCGAGTTCACTATTATCATAATCGCACTTGAAACCAAACCTGTAAATTGTAATATTAAGGCTGATGAGAAGTTTTATTACACACTATCATGGAGTGGATGAGGGACAGGTCATCCCACCACCCTTCCTGGGAAACCAGTTCTGCCAAAATGGTAAATTGTTGGTGGATCTTTACCTATTGGGTCAACTGAGGCTTTCATTCCTAAAGGATATTGGTCTTTAGAGGTCATGTAATTATGGAATGCATCAGTTTTCCATTGAGCATTAGAACTGGACACAGGAGTGCTAGGACGTGCCCAGTGAATGCCCTTAGTTCCAGAAATAATCCTCTTTTTATCCTTGTGAAGCAGCAAACCCTAATTCCCTCTTAAAAATGCAGGTCATTCCCTCATTCAGTTGTTCTTCTCGGCTGTCCATCCCACAACCCAAACAGCTGAAAATGGATAGGGGACAAGGCGTCAATGTCAGTTTCCATTTTAATGGAAATCGACGGGGTCTATGGGAGAGGCATATTGCCTTTAGTACTTTAACCTACAAAGTGTCCAATCCCTATTTTCTGGGGAAGGAAGGAAAAAAAAATCTGTGAATGATTTTTTTTGGGTATAATAGCAGGAGGGGTTACTATCTACCCATGCAACCTATGGCACCATTCCCTCAGGCCAGGAGGGGATTGAGGGTGGCCCCTCTCATGCCTGCTCCATGGAACCAGCTGTGTCCACCTGCCTTAGGATGCCTCCTGCCCTGTGGTTTCCTTTGGTTTGTCCAGGGGCTCACGGCCCTCATCTGAAGAGTACCCCTCCCCATGGGACTTGACTAGCGTTCTCTGTCCAGGGCCTAGAGAAACCAGGACAAATGTCCAGGGAGATCCCTGACATTCTCAAAGGCCCCTGAAGAGAGAGACACAATTCCCACCCCTCATTAGCCTTCCTGGAGTGGGGAATGGAACAGGAAGAAGTGGAAATGAAACCAGAAGGGGTGGGCGCCCTCTCCCTCCATCCTTTCTGTTGGCTGCCCTATTCCCCCTTGCTCCACCCCGAGCTATCACAGCTTGAAGGAAAAAGGAGGGAGGGGCTCCCTGATGTGTGTGGAGGGGCCTGTGCTCTGGGTGATGATCAGAGACCCCGCATGGGAACAACAGAGCTTTGTGTCATGCACGTGCACACACTACCCACATGTTATGTGTACTTCTATGTGTGCATGTTCATTAACACCACTGCTTCTTAGAGCCAACATATCTAGTGTCTGAAATACTTTCTCCCGAATCTCATGTTTGCCCCCAAGACCACAGTTATGAGGAAAGTCATGACCCAGAACAGAGCTCTTTATCTTCCCTGTACTCTGCTACTCTTGACTCTCTTGGCAGGGGCAGCACTTTCTGAATTCTCTTCACCCCTAACCTGCGCTGTGTCAACACACCCTCTTACCCCAACTGCTGCAAGGACCTTTGCCTTTTCATTTCCCAGCCTGAGGAAAGAGCATGTTTGAGTAAAGGACACTGAGGTGTTTAAGGAAGGGCAGGGCAGAATGGCTGGAGCAGTGATGGAGGTTGAAATTTGACAGGAGGTGGACTGGTGAGAGGAGGCAGGGCCAAGTTCCCATAGGACTTTGTCACATCTGGGAAGGTTGGGGATCTTCTTCTAAGTTTGACAGGGAACAGTGGCTGTCCTCTCTCCATTCCAATGGACTCTGGGGAGCTGTTGCCAGATGCCACTTCTCCGGGAGGCACTTTTCTCCTGGTTGGTGTAGCGGATGCCTTCCCGAGGTGGCTCTCTGACTCTCCTGCTGCCCCTCTGGCCAGTTTAACCTCCAGGGCACCCTCCCTACTATAGAGTTCTGCTGTCATGTGATAGACCTTCTCAGGCAATTGCAAGGAAATGATAAAGTCGTTTACTCCCCATGGTAAGATGGGTGAGCTGTGTTATTAGTGTTGGGAGAAGAGAAAAGATCAAATCTGACTTTTGCTTTACCTGCCCTGACATGGCACAGAAAGACACCACCTCCATGTCATTCACCATGATCAAGTGGGATTCATCTCAGGGATGTAAGGATGGGTCAACATAAAAAAAAAAAATCACATCAAGAGAATTAAGGACAAAAAACATATGATAATTTCAATAGATGCAGCAAAAGCATTCAAATAAAATTCAACATCCCCTCACGATAAAAAGTCTCAACAAAGTGGGTATAGAAGGAAGGTATTTCAAAACGATAAAGGCCATATATGACAAACCCACAGCTAATATACTGAATGGGGAAAAAATTGAAACCTCTTCCACTAAAAGATGGAATAAAACAAGGATATCCACTTTCACCACTCTTATTAAACATAGTTCTGGAAGTGCTGGCCAGAGCAATTAGGAAAGAGAAAGAAACAAAGGGCATACGAATTGGAAAGGAAGAAGTGAAATTATCCTCGTTTACAGACAACATGACCTTATATTTAGAAAAACCTAAAGACCCTACAAAAAAACTCTTAACTAATAAACATACTTAGTAAACTTTCAGGATACAAAATCAGCATACAAAAATCAGTAGCATTTCTATACATTAACAGCAATCAATCTGAAAAAGAAATCAAGAAAGCAATCTCATTTATAATAACCATAAAAAATACCTAGGATAAAATTTAATCAAGAAGGTGAACGATCTCTACAAGGAAAATTATAAAACACTGGTAAAGGAACTAAAATATACCATAGTAACCAAGAAAACATGTAACTGGCACAAAAACAGACACACATAGGCTAATGGAACAGAATATAGAACCCAGAAATAAATGCACACATTTACAGCCAACTCATTTTTCACAAAGGTGCCAAGAACATATATTGGGGAAAAGATAGTGTTTTTAAAAAATGATGCTTGGAAAACTGAATATCCATATGCAGAAAAATGAAACTAGATCCCTATCTTTCATGATGAATTATACAAAAATCAACTCAAAGTAGATTAAAAACTTAAATGTAACACATGAATCTATTATGAGAAAATGTTGGGGAAATACTACAGTATGTTGGTCTGAGCAAAGATTTGTTGGATAAGACCTCAAAAGCACAGTCAACAAAAGCAAAAATAGGCAAATGGGATTATACCAAGTGGAAAAAGCTTCAGCACAGCAAAGGAGACAATCAACAAACTGAAAAGACAACCTAAAGAATGGGAGAAAATATTTGCAAACTATTCGTCTGACAAGGGATTAAAAACCAGAATATTCAAACAACTCAATGACAAAAAAGTAAATAATCTGATTTAAAAATGGGCAGAAAATCTGAATAGACATTTCTCTAAAGAAGACATACAAAGGGCCAACAGGTATATATTAATAATAAAAAAAACACTCAAAACCACTAATCCTCAGGGAAATGCAAATCAAAAACAACAATAAGATATCATCTCACCCCATTTAAAATGCCTATTATCAAAAAGACAAAAAATAACAGATGCTGGTGAGGATGTGGAAAAAGGGGAATGCTTGTACACTGTTGGTGAGATATAAATATAAATATATATATTTATATATATATAAATATAAATATAAATTAGTATAGCCACTACGGAAAACAACTTGGAGGTTCCTCAAAACTAAAAATACAACTACCATATGATCCAACAATCTCACTGCTGGGTATATATCCAATTTCCAGCAGATAAGCCTAAACCCACACCTGGCAGAGCTGTCTCCAGTAGCTTGGCACAAGTGGGCCCAGGACGCTGCAGCGCCTGTCGCCCGGATCGTTTCTACCAGGGCCTCCGGAGGCATAAGAGCAGGCAGCTTTCTCCTGTCTTGGACCCACGCAGGACCAGATTCCAGTCACAACGCAGGAAGTCCTAGCACTAAAGTTTGGTGTCCACAAACCAACAATGCCAGTTTAGGACCAACATGAGGACTACATTTCCCAAAAGACACCATTGCACCGGGCGGCCATTGGATCGTTGGATCGAGTCTCGCCACAACTCACCGCTGACCAATCAGAAGAGAAAATTTGCCTTTGGGGCGGGACCATCGAGGGACCAATTAGAAGGCAAGAGGCAAGGCTAGCGGGCAAACCCTAAGACTCGAGCGACCTCTGGTGGCTGTTGAAGGCAGTAAGGAATGGGCAGGGTCGCTAGATTTCAAGCTCAGGTCTAAGAGAGGAAACTAAGAAGCAAATCCAAAGGCATTGTGACCCGCGGGCAGACGACCAGAGTCAGAACTCCCAGGAAAGTTTATTAAAATGCGAATCCCCAAGCTCATGCGAGATTCAATGCGTTACGGTGTTGGGTAAAGCCCAGAAATCTGAATTTTTAACAAGCTCTCCTACGAAATTCTCCCTACACAACTTTGAGAATCACTGACCAGGTCATAACAGATTTAAAGGAGATCCCTACCTGCTCCAATTACTCAAAGGGTGATGAGGAGAAGCCCTCACTTGAACCAAGACCCCGGGTTCGCCCCACCCAACACCCTGGGACCAAGAAACGCTTAGACCGGAAATGGGAGCATCTCCAAAACAGCTTGAGGCTGGTTGGAAGCCAGGAAGAGTCCCAGCCCCTCCCACGTCAGCATCCTTGTGGGCGCACAGCGGGGCGGGCGGCGTGCGGCCTGCCGGGAGTTGTAGTCGGCTGCGCAGCCCCGCGCCTGCGCCATGGGCAGTTGCCGGTGAGCTTGGGAGAGCCGTGGGCGCTGAGGCGGTGAGTCCCGGAGTGGCCAGAGGGCGTGGCTGTCCCTGGGGCGCGGGCGCGGGTGGCGGGGCTCCTTTCGCAAGCCGAGGCCACGCGAACTGGCTGGTTCCAGCTGTGTCCCGGGCGGTGGACACCGGGAGGAGCGATGGGCGGCGGGCCCCTATCCGGCTAGGGTCGTCGCCGCCGCTCCCTGCAATTCGACCGGGCCTTCCTGGGAGTTCTCTAGGGCTGAGAGCGCCCCTCTGGGTGGAGGGGCGTCGTTGCCGAGAAGCGCTCGGGGTCCACTCCCAGGACACCAGCATCAGATTTTAAATCAGCTTTTAGACTTTTCAGGAACGTGTCACTCTTGCTGTTCCCAAGTGCCCTCTTTTTACACATCGCTTTACTCATAGGCCCCGTGGGGGCGGATTCACTACAGGGAGGTTTGGGAAGAAACCACTAGTCCCACAGTGAAGTGAACTTTCACTGGGAAGGGCTGATGCAAGGAAACCCGGAGGGTCAATTCCCTGGTAGACGTGGTGGAAGGTTTTGGGTCAGTCAGGGAAGGACCGGCCAGCTGTGAGGCTGGAACGGATTAATGGGTGGGTCCACAGCCAAAAACAGCACAGCTCCTGGATGCCCTCCAGCAATGGTTAGGTGCCTAGACTCTGGGAAATAGAAGCTTCCTAGGAATGAGTCTTGACAAGCAATAAACTTTAATTGAGTGCTTCTTCTGTGCCAGGCAAGCTACTATTCGCTTTCTATGCAATTGGATCCAAACAGAACATTTTAGGAAGTAGATGCTATGATTATCCTCATATAACAGATAGGAGCACTGGGTGTCAGGGTCACAGAGCTAACAGGTTATCACACCTCCATCAGTCTGCCTCTAAAGTTAGGCTACCATCATGGTAAAGAGTGAAATGGGGGCAGAGTGTCGATTTTGGTTGACTGGGTCGGGAGAGAGTGGACGGGGGCAAGAGCTGGAAGGGGGTGAGAAAGTCATGAGTATTTTTTTCCTTGAATCAGCTCCAGAGAAGAGCATAGATGCAGGAGCTGTCTCAGCAAATGCAGAGAGAGAGAGAACCTATGGCCCAGGGGCAGGTACAGGTCTTGAAACACATGGAGACATGTATGTGACCACTTCAGTGACCTCAGTGATTGCACTAAGAACATTTTGATGTTTTTAGACATTCGAATTACAGGAGAATGTCAATTTTAACCTCATCCCCATTTTCCTCTGACATTTACCATGTAACTTTGGAAAAATTCTTCAGTCCCCCTAAGCCTCAAACCTCAGTTTCCAGATTTGTATACAGGGGATAATACTAGTACCATGCTCGTAACCTTGAGTGAGGGTTAAATGAACTAATATATGTAGGATGCTTAAAAGAGTACCTGGCACATAGTGTGAACTCGAGAAATATCCTTATTTAGGAATGCAGAGCAAATTCCTAATGGTCCCTCTATTGCAGTGTATTTTTCTCATAGGAGAGCCACTGGGAGTGCTATGGCAGGATGAGGGTCTTGGTGATGTTGGCTGAATTACACACACCTTGAATGGAGAAGAATGAAGGATTGATGAGTTGCTGCGCTTGCAAAGCATGGCACTAAGTTCTCTTTAATTGAAGGCTATTCAGGGGTACTAAAAGCTAGATGGACTCTCAGAGTTATTAAAAAATATTGTTAATATTCCTCTTCTGTTTCTTTTCAGACCTATATATATTCAGAAACACAGGACAGTTGGTGTTAAACTGGGAGTGGGGTAAATGCCAACAGATTTATAGAGGTTCATTTAAAGTAAGTGTTCTTAGTCTGGGATCATTCTAGAGCAATTCTAGAGCAGAGCTGTCCAATACAACTTTCTGCAGTGATGTCAATTGAGCACTAGAAATTTAGCAACTATGACTGAGAAACTAATTTTTTATTTTTGGCTGAACTTAAAGTGTCACGTGGCTACCATATTGGACAGCATAGTTCTAGAGGGTCCATGGATGAGCCTTGAGATTTTGTAAGCTTTTGAAACTGGATGTGGAATTGGATGTGTATGTGTATTGTTCTAGGAAATGAGTCTGTAGCTTTCATCAGATTCTCAAATTTACCGGAAAGATTACTAATTGCTGCTTTAGGTCTTTGGTGAAACTTAAGTTAGTTAAGGGTGGTAAATATGCCCTCTTGTAACCACTGTTGTTTCTTCTTTCTCGTTTTTTCCTGTCTTCAGCTGTAGGTACCTCCCCCGACCCCTGACAATTTCAGAGAGAAACAAGTTAGAATATAAGACTTCAGGTCCCAGATAAACTATAAACTGCTAGAAGGGGTTGATCACTGAGGATCTAGGTTGTGCAATCCAGGACTCCTTGAATAAATCAGTGCTCCGTGTTTCAAGAGTATGATACTGATTGTGAAGTCTTCCGTCAGCGCTTCAGGCAATTCCAGTACAGAGAAGCAGCCGGACCACATGAGGCTTTCAACAAACTCTGGGAGCTTTACTGTCAATGGCTGAAGCCAAAGGTGCGCTCTAAGGAACAAATCCTGGAGCTGCTGGTATTGGAGCCATTCCTAACCATCCTGCCCATGGAGATAGAGACCTGGGTGAGGGAACATTGACAGACAATAAAGTAGGACTTGTGTCAACTGATAGAAGACTTACAGAGAGAACTTGACATACCAGAGCAACAGGTAAGATAAGAGTTCAGGATCTTTGTAATTAGCCCCAAGGAAATAGCCGAGGCAGCTAGGACTAGACCAGACATTTTCTGTCTGTGTGGTTCCCCAGCCCTAGGATTTCCCCACAGTCCCTTTCATTTTTCTCCTCTGCTGGAAATAGCACATGGGTCAGTTGCTTCTATCCCTGTCAGATGCAGTCCGACTTCTATAACAAATAGTGTATAATGTCCCTAGTAC